CGAGGAATTATGAAGCTCACTGAAAGATGGCAAAAGGTTATCAAACAAAACGGGCAATATATCATTGATTGATCTTTGTTCTTTATATAAATAAATGACCTTTGAAAAACATAGACAAAATATGTCATGACTTTTTTTGACAGCCCAATAATACTTGATACTAAAGTAGCCAGAAGCTCATTTTGAAAATCTTATGAATAAACTTATGAAAAGTGAGCAGATTTGGAAAACAATTAACACACATTTATGTTCCTTTTCAAATTCTGTTTCTGTGAACCTTCTACAGCTTCCTGTACATGTTCAGTTTTGTATTTCAGCCTCCTCTTTCCTATTCTGGCACAAAAAGCCATTTTACTTTAGAAACATTCTCTTTTTTCCCCTTTATCCTGAGACTCGTTATTAGAGTCTCATTCATGTATACTAATTACAACTTTTAAACAACGTCACTTTTTTTTTTTTTGCAGAGAAGACTAGGATTCACAACTGTGTACTGTCTGAATTTATCAGACCAGCTCATGCATATACCCAGCCCAGCTTTATTCGGCCACACACATTCCTTATACAGTGTTTTACTGTGACAAAAATGAGCATGTTCATTGACAGACATAAAGATGTAGCTTCTTTGTAGCATGCGCAAATAAGTATATAAATTAAAATTTTGGCCGCCACTGCACCCAGAACAGCCAGGAAACACAGGAGCGGGACCAAGCGCAGTGTGGCGATAGGCGGGAGTAGAGCCCCGCTGGAGAAACTGGACGGCCGCCAGTGACAGATTGTGCTCTGTCCACCCGTGCCTCCTGCATGTCCTGCTGCCCTGAGCTGTCCCGAGCTAGGTGACAGCGTGACACGCTGCCACCATGAACGAGGTGTCTGTCATCAAAGAAGGCTGGCTCCACAAGCGTGGTGAATTCATAAAGACTTGGAGGCCCCGGTACTTCCTGCTGAAGAGTGATGGCTCCTTCATTGGATATAAGGAACGGCCAGAGGACCCTGACCAGACCCTGCCCCCCCTAAACAACTTCTCCGTTGCAGAATGCCAGCTGATGAAGACCGAGATACCAAGGCCCAACACCTTTGTCATACGCTGCCTGCAGTGGACCACAGTCATTGAGAGGACCTTCTATGTAGACTCTCCAGATGAGAGGGAGGAGTGGATGCAGGCTATCCAGATGGTCGCTGACAGCCTCAAGCAGCGGGGCCCAGGTGAGGACCCCGTGGACTCCAAGTGTGGCTCCCCTAGTGACTCTTCCGCAGCTGAGGAGATGGAAGGGGCAGTTAGCAGTGCCCAGGCCATGGTGACTATGAATGACTTCGACTATCTCAAATTTCTCGGCAAGGGCACCTTTGGCAAAGTGATCCTGGTGCAGGAGAAGGCCACTGGCCACTACTACGCCATGAAGATCCTGCGGAAGGAGGTTATCATTGCCAGGGATGAAGTTGCCCACACCGTCACTGAGAGCCGAGTCCTCCAGAACACCAGGCACCCATTCCTCACTGCCCTGCGATATGCCTTCCAGACCCACGACCGCCTGTGCTTTGTGATGGAGTTCGCCATCGGTGGTGAGCTATTCTTCCACCTGTCCCGGGAACGTGTCTTCACGGAGGAGCGGGTCCGCTTTTATGGCGCAGAGATCGTTTCAGCCCTGGAGTACTTGCATTCACGGGACGTGGTGTACCGTGACATCAAGCTGGAAAATCTCATGCTGGACAAAGATGGCCACATCAAGATCACAGACTTTGGCCTGTGCAAAGAGGGCATCAGTGACGGGGCCACCATGAGAACCTTCTGTGGAACCCCCGAATACCTGGCACCTGAGGTGCTGGATGACAATGACTACAGCCGGGCTGTGGACTGGTGGGGGCTGGGCGTGGTCATGTATGAGATGATGTGCGGCCACCTGCCCTTCTACAACGAGGACCATGAGCGCCTTTTCGAGCTCATCCTCACGGAGGAGATCCACTTCCCACGCACACTCACCCCTGAGGCCACGGCCCTTCTTACCGAGCTGCTTAAGAAGGACCCCAAGCAGAGGCTAGGCGGGGGGCCCAGCGATGCCAAGGAGGTCAGGGAGCACAGGTTCTTTCTCAGCATCAACTGGCAGGACGTGGTAGAGAAGAAGCTCCTGCCACCCTTCATACCTCAGGTCACATCTGAGGTCGACACAAGGTACTTCGATGATGAGTTCACCTCCCAGTCCATCACACTCACGCCCCCGGACCGCAAGGACAACCTGGACCAGCCGACCCTCTTCCCCCAGTTCTCCTACTCGGCCAGCATCCGCGAGTGAGCAGCGCTGCCTGCCTGCCACTGACGCCGCCATGGGACACTCACAAGGCTGCCATCACTGCCGGAGGGCTTTGTCCTTTTTTTTTTTTTTAACTTTTTATTTTGCCTTTTTTGTTTGCATCTCCATCCTTCACCCCTCAAATCCAATTTCCAGTTTTTTCTTCAGCCCTCTGCCAGAATCCCCTCAGTGGACCCAGTGGCCCTGCCTCCAGGATCCTGTCCTGCCCTCACCTTTGTTCCCAGACCAGGACTGGGGAGACTACACTGCCTGTCCCAGGACTGGGCTTTTGGGCAATTGGGGAGATTCCAGTTTTTCATCAACACAAGCCCCAGTGAGGAGGGAAGGTAGAGTGGGAGCCTGCCTGAGTTTCCGGCCAGGCGCCCTCAGGCAGCCTGCCTCTGCGCTGCTGCCCTCGGAAGCTGCCGCCTTGTGGGTACCTGCTGGACAGTGCTCTGGGGCTGCCTTCTATGCCTGTCATTAGGCTCTGAGTGGCCTGGCGAAGGGACAGTCCAGCGCTGTCCCCCCATGGAGGTAGAAAAGCAATAATGTGTAAAGATAGGGCATTTGGGAACTGCAGGAGTGGAGGTCTAGGGCTCCCTCGTGTGGCTGGGGCCCAGTTACCCTGTGGGGAACCTGGAGGGGCCCTGGGGATGGGTGCTGCCTCCCCTCGCCCCACGCTGCTCTCCTGACCCTGTGGAAGAGGCAGGAGGAAAATTTGGGGCCTAGCCTCCCCACCCCCCAGCCCCGTGCCTTACCAGGCTTCCTCCCTAGGGCTTCCTTCCAGCTGGCCTTACCTCCCGCTGGACCCCGGGCCTGGCCCCGGCCCCTCCAAGGAGGGGGGCCGGGATAGCCCCTTCTCTCTGCCTGGGGTGGAGAGGTGCCAGTCTCGGCTGTTACACATCTCGCACCGAGACAGTATTGGGCCCCGTGGACTTGGGTCGAGGAGGAGGCGGGGGTAGGTGTCTCTGGTACTTACTGGGGTGGGGGCCTCTGAGAAGTAGGGCTCCAGGCCACCTCCCCCCTCCCCCTCTCCCAGCCCCACGTTCTGCAGCCTTAAGATGAACATGTGTCAGTGCTCTGGGCACTTGTGTGTGTGCCTTGACCTGTGTGTGGGTGTCCCTGTGCATCTGGGACACAGATACACACAGGGTGTATGTATGTGAGGGCAAGCGTGTCCCAGCCTCGAGTGTGAATGCTATGTGTGGGCTCGGCCCCAGTCCCTGGCCCGAGCATTTATTTCATCCCAGGGGAGGGGTGCTGGCCTAGCAGGGGAGTCACACTTGAGGTCCACTTGCCCTGCCCCTCCCCCTTCCCAGCAAAATCTCCTGGTGTTTGGAATATAGTTTTTGTGGTTTTGATCTCCCCACCCCACCTCCTGTACTAAGTAGTTCACAGAGAGACATCCTGGGGTGGGGTGGGTTTTGGTTTGGGGGAGTGTGAGGGGGTCTCTTTTCCTTTTTGTGTATGTCATTTGACAATTCTTCCTCCCCAATGGCCTTTTCCCGTTCCTCCTATTTGTACGGTACAAGCAATAAAGACCCTCGTTTAAGAAAAAAAAATGTGCTTAATCATCATTGTTTCAGTGTTTTTTCTTATAAATGATCAAAGCCATCCATTATTTAACTTAATGTAATATCATCCCATATTTTCAGTTACCAGTATCTAATGATTTGGGAAATGCTCCCAAGCTGACATACTATAACCTTATTACTATAGAAATTCAAGTGTGGCAGAAACATAATTCAATTTGGTTAAACAATTTTATGTTTTTCGAGGGCTGGCCGAGTGGCTCAGTTGGTTAAGAGCTCGCTCAAGAGTGTGAGCTCTCAGCAACAGTGGTTTGAGTCGTGGCCCGAGCTGAGCTGCCAACAGGTGGCAGGATGGCTCCGCTAAAAAAAAAATGTTTTTCGAGTCTAAATCTTTTAGTGGAAGTAATTCTCGTTCATTTGATCATTAAAACAGTAGAAGTTTAGAAAAAAATATACTCAGGTAGCATAACAATGCATGCTGTATTATACTTAGTACTGATAAGTCAAAGAATACATAGTTGTTTTCACAAAAACAAAACTATTAAGCTAGACGTACTTACCAAAGATCTACCTAAATTATATGAATTTGAGTTTTTAAAATGGTTGTAAGTCAGTTTCTGGGAGAATATATATTTAAATTTAGCTCATTTTAAGTATCATAGTTTAATTTTTAAGAATATTCCATGTATGTAATCAATTATTTATTAGATATGCCAATCAGAACAGAGCTCCTTTAAATTCAGAGATTTTATGACCTAATAATGTCACCCAGAGGTAGGAAAACATTACACACTCATACAATTAGAGGTGAAGGCATTTTTGAATTACAGACACATAGACATATAAGCAGAAATAGAGCATATAGCTTTAATTCTAGAATTGTACCATGAGTTAAGAATAAACACAGATACAGAAAATCTCGCCAGTGCAGGTATCAAAATGCTGTTCTTCACCTATTGGGTATGAAATTATTAATTGATTTCAGCTCAAAAACAGATAAACCAAAAAGTAAAATGACCAACAAGCCAGATTTTCAGTTCTCTCTCATCCATTCAAATTTAGATCTCTATAAACTGTGAATCCATTTAGAAAGACCTCTAAATGGTCCAACTCTAAAACCAAATTCCCTTTCATTTCTGCCAACAATGGGGAATAACTTATGGGCTACAGTGTATCCAAATTAAAACAAAAACTAAGGAGATCAGAAAATTAGAACTAGAGAAACAGTGTTAACATCATTGTATTGGTGCTTTGGATTCATCTGGACCACCAAGAAAGGACATGCCTGGGCTTAAACTCTGCACGAGTTACACTTCTCTGTCATTGAAATTTGCCTGGCTCTGGTAAGTTAATGGATTGGACATTTTGGTTTGACCTCTAAGATGATTAAAAGATAATTTTCAGAACAAGATAAAATCATAATACTCATACAGATGTGAAATGGGCACATCTTTAAAGATGTTACTTAACTCATGAAAGAACCAGCAGATGTTATAACCATTGAAAAAGAGAATGCAAAGAACTGACACAAGACTATTGTTTAATAATATTGAAATGTGCGCAGAGGTCAGAGCCACAGGCCCTAGGATGGAGGCTCTGTCCCAAAAGGTTGATCCACAGGCCCAGGACCCAGCTTACAGCCATTGTTTTCACGCCTTAAAACCTAATGGATAGAACTTGTTGGTTGGATTTCAAACTTGCTTAGGGCTGATGACTCTTCTCCCCTTGTTCTCTCTTGTGGAATCAGAATATCCATAACTATTATTCCATGACTGACACGCCATTGTATTCTGAGAGTAAATAACTTATTTTCCAGTTTTAGAAGTTCATAAATGTAGAGCAGTTTTGCCCCAGGATGGATCATTCCGAGAATCTCACCCAGACCTGATTTAGATGAGATTTTAGACTTTGAGTTGGTACTGAAGGGGGTTCAGACTTTTCAGGTTGATGGCGTGGTGTGAATGTATTTTGTATGTGGGATGGACAGGAATCTCTAGGG